GCCCCCCGCCGCCCGCGGACCGTCCCCTTCCTCGGTGTACCCTCTCTCGCTTGTCTACGTCGTCCCCCCTTTTCGTCCTCCTTCGCCTCCGTCGGCTCCTTCGCCTCCTATCCACCGCTCCTGCGGTCCTCCCTGAGGTGAGGCGGGGCAGCTCGATTCTCCCGTTAATCCGACGACGGAGACCGCTCGGAGATGCTTCGGGCACCCGCGAAGATATGTCAAGCGCGTAAGCTCTCTCGCACGCGCGACCTCCTCGCCGAGGAGGTTCATCAGCCTGCGGTCATCATCGACGTGGTAGGATCGATTAATAGTGGCGACTCCCGCGTCGAGGGGGCAAGCGTGGAAGGGCGCCCGAGAAAGAGAGGGAGAGAGAGAGAGAGAGTGAGAGAGAGGGGACAGAAAAGGAGAGACAGAGATGCTCCGCGGTGTATTGTTAAAGAGATTCGACGTTTGTGCGAGTATGAAGTAAACTTAAAGTGTGTATATAACGCAACGGTGAATTGAACGCATTGCGCGGAAGTGACAGAAATTTCCATTATTTTTATCTATCGTTTATCCATCGAGATGTTTAATTGCAAACTCGTATGGCGCAAAAATACGTGGGAAGCCCATAACCAGTTTCTCTTAGTTTGAGATATTCGTGTGTAAAACGGAGGTTTAGAAACTGTCGTAATAATAGAATGAACAATTTAAAAGCATATTTCAGTGTAGCGTCGTGTAAATTTACCGTCGAGTCGAGGAGAAATTTCGATCTTTCGACGAAAATATTCGTGAAGTCGATAATATAGAAGCGGAGAAACGGGGTAACATGAAACACGCATGAAAAGTTAGCGCCAGATCTGGAATAACCTCATACGTTAGATTTAACCTTTATTTATTAGGCGCATAAATCCGTTTAATATTAAAGCCATCTTTATTTATTAGCAACAGTGAGACGACATGTAATATTTTAATCAAAGTATTGGCCGTTGTTATCGAGAATCTTTCGCCATATTTCGAGCAACAGCTCGATGGCGCCGATAGAATGATTCATCTTCCGAGATAATCCAATACAATACAATAGCGAACCGTATTTGTTACGAAATAATTCTAAAGAAAGCAGCATTTCCGAAAAAAAAAAAACCAATAGCACGTCTGTATTCTCATTAATTAAAGAAACACATGTGCGGCTTAAAGAGGATCATTTCTGAGAGGAAGAAGAGAGAAGAGAGAGAGAAAAAGAGAATCTGACATTTTTACACGGTTCTTCGTTACAATGAACTACCTGAAAAATTCGAACACCGAGATTCGGCAGATCGTAATATCTCGACCTCCCCAATTACCGAGTTCCTGCTCGCCAATCCGCCGTGGAACCGGGACAGGCCGGGCGGTTCCGTCTGACTAAGGAGAGCGCGTCGACATCGTTTATGACGGCCAGAAGTAAACGGGCGATCCTTTCGACGGAGGCGGAACGAGAGCGGAAGCGTCGTCTTTCACTCTCGAGCGGCCATGCCGGGCACGCGATTAGCAATTAACGACATGCTCTAAACGTGAAAGGGGCTAAACGCGGAAACGGTAGATAAAAAAAAATGGAGAAAAGATTATCCCGAGGTTCTCGTTACTACACCGACGTTATATGAGCCTCCGCAAATGTGGTCCGTCCAAATTACACCTCGTCGAAACTTTCCCCCTTGGATTCTCTCATTTGCGCGGGGTTTAACTACCGTGTGTAGTCTTCTCGCTCTCACTGACGTCACGATGATGATAATGATGATGATGATGATGAGAGAAGCGCTTACCGAGCGTTCCGCAACGGCGGGGAAAGGATTCAGGCGGGGACCAGCGAGAGCTGGTTCGAGATAATCGCAAAGATAACCCGAAATTCGGATGCTATTTTGACGCCTTTAAGGACGGTCGTTGCCTACTTAGACAGCTTATCGACCGGTAAGAACTTTTGAACAATACTCACACACTCGTCTTCTCCCTTGAACCCTTGATTCTACGAAATTTAATGCTAACGCCATCTTGAAGTTACAAACGCTCTCGATATTTCGATTATTAAATGCGTAAGAATATTCGAAACAACCTATTTGGGCGCCGGCAAAGACGAGAATTAAAGCGTCATCATGGTGAAAATCGCGGTAGATTACGTAATTAGAGTCAATCTATTTTCCGCAGCCTCGCATTGTGTCGCAGAATTCCAAGTGTAACGTAAGGGCGAAAATGTCAACTGTGGAGTAAGATGAAGCGGTCGAATGCTCGAGAGAAGGCGCGCGACGACTTCCCTCAGTCCCGTTCTCTCCTTCACGGCCTAGAAGAGCGCGCGCATAAAACCCGCGACGTTACCCGGGCGGAGGTGGAACCCCGTCGTAGGAACGTTGGGGAATGTCGTCGGCGCTGTAAGGACGCCGGTGTCCTGACGGCCGGTCTCGGCGCGCGCGCGCGCGCGCCTTAATGAGACCCCGGCGATCCTTTAATGGGGCTGGCCGAGGAAAAAAGGAGTAATATCCTGCGGGAACGTTACTTAGCGCATGTTTACGTTCGCGGCGAGAAAAGTCAGGCGACAATATCGCTGATCGGAGGGGAGAAAACGGGGCCAGCGAGGAGGAGGAGGACGCGGGAATAAGGAGAACGGTCCTTAAACCGCGCGATACGGCCTGGCTCGTAAAATCCCTTTTCCCTTATCTCGCCGAAAGTTACGAGAGCTCCGATGAAATTGCGCGCCGGGTCCCGCGCCGCGCCAGAAATGGAAAGTTGAAGCTACCACCGATCATCGGCAGGGACGATTCTTCGAGGACTCCTCGGGCCCCGGTAATACCGCGAGGTCGACCGTGTATGTGTGTTTGCGTGGCGTGCGCACGCGCTTATTAATCAGTTTCAAAGAGTAATGCGCTACTTGTAACGCCGTTACCGTCGAACATATTTTTTCTTTAGCAACGGCTCTTGGTAATATTACTTTTCTTACGTCGGCGACGATAAGCGGAATTTGGAGTTTGGAAAATAACTCGTCACCGTTACTTATTACAAGGCGTTTGAGAAGTTTCGCACGGAGAATAAGTAATAATAAGCAAAGTTTTAATTTTCTCTTTATTATTTCTGTGAAATATAATCTTCCTTATTTTGAATTACACCTTTAAGTTGATTCTTGCACGTCTCAAGACCAAAGTAAAAATATAATCTTCCGATTTTCAAAGCAGGCGTTTAGTTTTCTATCGATATTCTCATCGTTCTCAAAACGATGTGCTGTATTTGGCGAATAAGGCACATCGTTACTTCGAGCCAAAATCGGAAGATTAGTTTTCACTTTGGTCTTGAGACGTTCGAGAATCAACGTTGAAGACGTCATTAAAAATAAGGAAGATTATATTTCTATCGATGGTTCAAGATGGTTCGAGATGTCCCATCGAAATCGTTCGATTTTCTCTCGTGTCACCCTTCGCAGCACGAGCGGGGCAATTGCCATCGAGAAGGATCACCTTGTTTCTTCCGCCTTTAAGAATCTTTAGCCGGATCGTCTTCGATAATTGGCGGTACTCAACGATCGACGGAACGATCCGAACATAAGTAATAAAAGTAACAAACACGTTCATACTCTTACTAGAGGGATTCGGTCGATGTGCCCGTCGAGCCCTTCACGCGTGAACGAAATGACGCGCGTTGATTTTTCCCGTCACGCGGAAGACAATGAAAAGCCGCGGCGGCATTGAACGGCTGAAATATCGCCGCTCTCCGTTGCGGCGTGGATAATCGCTAAATTAACTGCATCGTTGCTCGTGCGCGCATCGATGATTAGCTATCGCGGAATAATTTATAATCGCGCGCCGCGCGGCCGGAGAGCGTCTCTCGGCGATTTAAAAGCCGCTACGGGCCGACTCGTCTCGTTCTCGATCGCGTTCCTCTCGTCCCGCGTATATATACGACATACGTATCGTACCTTGTCCGCGAACGAACGCACGCGAAGGAGCGCGAGCGCGTTATTAATCACGCGTGTCCCATAAGCGGAGTGCTTTCACTCTTGCGTCACGCCGCAAAAGCCAGACAATCGGCCCGCGCTTCGTGCATCACGCCTCGCGCGAGCGTCCGCTGTAACAACGACGATGACGACGGCGAGACGACGCGATGATATCTTGATCAATCGAGACGCGTTCGCGGTCTTCCGTACGTGGATCTATTGGAAACACGTCGATATCGGCCGTCGACCGTCGGGAGAAAGAGAAGGAAAGAGAGAGCACCGACAATGGGAGTCACGTCGCGATAATTCTCCAGACGATAATCCCGCAGGTAGGTTTAATCAATT